CCATTTGAGTAGAGCAGCCCTTGCAATGTTTTATAGAAGGTCTATCAGAGATTTCAAAGGTAGCTTTTAATAAAACTAATGAAGGTTCATATTAGATTTCAGATGACACTTAAAATTTCTTATAAGAGTCTATTTATTTATTTTAAAAGATGTGGTGTTTGGATGGTCCTTGAATTATCATAAGCATTGCTGTTGTTATATTGGGTAGAGGCTGTCCTCACGTAACATGGTGTAGGAGAGTCTGACAAGACCTTACAAAATGAAACAGTGTAATTAGGCAATGAAAACATTCCAAATTTTGTACCCTTTAAAATGTTGGTGGAAACATGAAGCTTTCCTTACCATAGTTATAAATGTATATGGAAATAAAAAAATTATAAAACTAATATTTCATATCATCAATGTAAAAATACTTAGAAAAATTGGGAGTTACAGTTTTATTTTTTCCAAATGTTATCATGAATAATTTGAACAATTACTTCTTATAGAATCTTTTGTGTCAAATGAGCATCTCTTTGTATACATTGGTGAATATTGGCATTCCGTTCTGAGTTTAAATTTGCTTCAGATACTTTACTGTTTGTACTTTAAATGTTACGAGATTGAGAACCGAGAAATCAGCCCATCTACCTATGGTCAACTGATTTTTGACAAGGTGATGAAGTCATTTAAGTGGATAAATTACAGTCTTTTTAAGAAATGATGTTGGCAAAATTGGAAAACTATCTGCAGAAAACTCAAGCAAGATTCATACCTCACACCATATACAAAAGCAAAGTCAAAGTGGATCAAGGACTTTGGACTAAAACCAAAGAGTATAAATTTCATTAATGAAAAGCTTGGAAGAACTCTAAAAGTCCTAATCCACAACATGAACAGTCTTCCAAGTATCTTGAAAAAATCTACAACCTGGAGAGAATAAACTAAATGTATGAGACCTTCTAAGAATCAAATCCCTATGTACATCCAAAACCTTCTCCAACAGGGTAAAAAGGGAAGCCACAAACTGGGAAAAAGTATTTGGTAATGACATGTCAGATAAGGGACTTTTAAATAGAATTTATAAAATAGGCAAGCACCACAAAAAGATAAAGGTAAACAACCCAGTTGAAAAATGGGCACAGAACATGAACAGACACTTCACCAGAGAAGACGTTCAGATGGCAAACACACACATGAAAAAAATGTTCAAAATCCCTAGCTCTAAAAGAGATGCAAATCAAAGCAACTATGAGATATCATCTCGCCCCAGTAAGAATAGCAAAATTTAACAGAGCAGCATGCATCAAATGCTGGCAAGGTTGTGGAGAAACTGGAACCCTTATTCATTGTTGGTGGAAGTGTAAAATGGTGCAACCACCATGGAAGGAAGTATGGTGCTTTCTCAAAAAGTTGCAAATAGAAATTCCATTTAACCCAGCAACTCCACTACTGTAAATATACCCCAAAGAAACCATAACCACCACCCAAGCAGATATATGCTCACCCATGTTTATCATTACTTTGTTCACCATAGCAAAGAGATGGAAACAACCTAGTGCCCATCAGCAAATGAATGGGTAGAGAAGCTGTGGTATATTCATACAATGGAATACTATGTTGCCTTGAAAAACAAAGAACTTATGAAATATACAAAATGGGTGACCCTGGAGGACATTATCCGAGTGAAATATCTCGGTCACAAAAGGACAAATACTGCATAGTGCCACTGTTGTAAAATGAGACTGACATCAGAGTTGGTGGGAGACTGAGAAAGATGGTATAAATTATGTATACTACATTGAAACAGATGAGGAAGAGAGCTGTTTAAAAAGCATATATGATTAGGTATTATTGTCGTGACCAAATCCAGAATGAAGGCTGCATAGTGGAGTGGACTTGGGGGGAGGAATTGTATAACAATACAATTTTTAATTTTAATAACAATATTTATTAAATATTTCTTTCAATCCCCAGTTTGTTGTTTTTCTTGGCATCAATCTGATTCTAGGAGTGAGCTCTTGTTTGTTCTTTTTAGGTGCCATTGAGTCGTGTTCAACTCATAGTGACCCCATGAACAAAAAAATCTGAAGCCTGCTTCATCGTGCACCATCCTCACACTTCCTGACACACAAGAGACCATTGCGGCAGTCACTGTCAGTCCACATGTTAGAGCATCTTACTCTCCTTTGACAGCCCTCCACCTCTCCCAGTGTCATGTCCCTCTCCCAGGAAAAGCCCCTCCTAGCAAATATGCCCAAAGTATGTGAGGTGAAGCCTCATCATTCTTGCATCCAAAGAGCACTCAGGCTGCCCCCTCCCCAAGATGTATCTGTTTGTTTTCTTGGCTGTCTATGGGATGTTCAGTGCTCTTCTCTAACACCACAGCTCAAAGACATCAATTCTTTTTCTGCCATCCTTATTTAGGAGTAAGCTCTTACTACAAAGAAATATGTAAGAGTGATAGACAGTTGTAATGCCGTATACTAAGTGACACAATGGGGCAGCTGTGGAATTATGTCCACCTACAGCATGTATGGCGCTCTGGAAGTGCCACAGGGCGCTGAACCAAACCCCACTGTTGTTGATACTGACTCTTAGTGACCTGCGGGACAGGGGAACAACCTCAAAGGGAAATTTTTCTAGAAGCTGACTATCACATCTGCTCCCCATCAGCAGGGCACTGTGTGTTGAAAACCTGAGTAGAATGTGTTGTGACTGAATTGTAGAGAATAAGGTGAGGTTTGTAAATAATGAAGTTGCTGAGGGAACAGAGACCCTCTAATGAGAAAGAAATGGACACATCTGATAAATGCTTCAGTGGGAGGATTGATTGCCTTTGGATGAGTCAAGTGAGAGGGAGCCACATAAGTTCTGGTAAAGGTCATTTGATGGTAGTGAAATGAGGGCAACTTAATGAATTAGATTTTGAACTTGTTAAATTTGAAGTACTTCTTGATTATTCAAGTGGAAATATGCAATAGTGGGTAACTACTTAGAAGATGTGTTTAAAACTCAAGAGGAAACCGGGCTTGGAAACATAAATTTGGGTGATATTAGTATGCTAGTACATGTTAGTACATTAGGGTGAAGAAATAGAGAAAGAGTAGTGTTGTTAGGTGCCATCAAGTTGATCAGGGCTCATAATTTCCCTGTGAACAGCAATGGATCAAAGCTTTCTTTGCCCTGTCCTGAGCTATTTGCACAATCTCAGCTATGCACAAGCCAGTTGTTGCAATTACTGTGTCCGTTCACCTCCTTGAGAAAGTGTGTGGGCCTAGTTAAGAGGATTTTTAAGCCAATAGCATTTAAAGAACAAGTTTGGAGTTTGGTTTTTTTTTTAAAAAAAAATTAGTTGAGCCTACAGAGAGTATAAGATAGAATGAACAAAGAGAGTAGAGCAAGAAGGATGAATGAGATCACAGAAGTGAAGAATTTAGCAACCTAGCTGTAAAAAATTACTTTAATGAGCACAATTGCAGTGTAAATGAGAGGTTGAAAAATAATGCCATCTGTCTAAAGCTAGAGTATAGTATGTGGAATAGTGAGAAGGCAGTTCTTAAGGAAGTTTAATTGTGGAGAATAGAGAAAGAGAAGGTTGAAACTAGAAGGAAATGAGGTAGGATTTTCTCTTTTTATCTAATCTGAGGAAGATTTGATTATGATTAAAAACTTACGAGGAGAGTTCATTGGTAATTAAGAGGCTAGTCATGAGCTTACTTTGCCCAGGATCAAATACTCCTCTTAACTTTGTTCTGTCAGTGCTGTAAATAAATTAGATTCCAAACGCATAATGCCACTGCATCTTCTGGTTGTTTCTGAGGTCTTGTCACTCTAACTAGGTTGCAGATCGCTGTTTGCATGCATTACGCTCCTTCTCTCAGTCCAGCATCAGTTCAGTGTTGCACTTACAGATCCTTGGCAACACGTTATAGTAAATGATTTTCACTGCTCTCGTGTACATCTTTGTTTATTCTCTTTAAAGTGATTATTAAATGTTCACTCTGTGCCAGACATTTTTCTAGATGCTGAGAGAGGTGATAGATAGAGATTTATAAGACAGATAGACCCCTTACCCCAAAACTTTGTAGTCTGGGGAAATCGTTATTAAAATAGCGATTAAATAGGAAGGTGGGCAAGTCATTACAGATTGCAAATATTATTTTAAAGGACATCATGATTGAGAATTTTCCTGTGTAACTACTTTATATATACACACACAATTCATCACTTACTGGCCATCTTCTTATCTGATATTTTGCATTTACGATGATGCTAAAAACTCTATTATCTGACTATTTTGAACATTAACAACATATATCTGGGCATAAAACTCCTGAAGTGCAGTATGAGAGTAATATTGGCCATGATGGTTTAGATTATTTATATATCAGCTTGGCTGGACCATGATTATCGGTTTGCATTTATTTGGCCATTAAAACATGATGTTGTTTGGCTGTCATATAAAGATATAATCAGCTTTTTCTTTTTATATGATGTGGTCATCCTCCATTTTCACATAATACTAAATTTCACGTAATAATTTGGTCTCTGGAGTCTGACCATGTTGATAAATGAGGAGTCATTGTGTCTCTTCCCATGACCCCTTGTTTCCATTGTTGGGGGAGACCTACCACATCTGAAAGGACTTAAGATGAGACAAAAACAGTAGTAAAAGAGCAGGGACTGTTTATACCTATATGTAGTTTATGCCTTTGTTTACCATTTCTAAAAGACACTGATAATTTAATGGTTATTATGGACTGCGTTGTCCTAGTGGTAAGAGGCTTTGCAGTTCCGCACGCACATGGTTCAAATCCATCAACAACTGCAGAAGGATGGACAGTCTCCTACTGTGCGATTGAACTGCCGCTGAAAACCCTTTTGGGCGCCAGCTGTGCACTGATTCTGACTCAACAGCACCACAATCACAACGGGCTCTGGGTTTTTATTTTTGTTTTGGGATTGACTTACTGTGTGAGCAACTGACTAGTTTTCTTCCTTTTCTTCCTTCTTTGCAGTTATTTGCCATCTTCCGTGTATGAATGGTGGCCAGTGCAGTTCAAGGGACAAATGCCAGTGTCCCCCAAACTTCACGGGGAGGTTTTGTCAGATCCCAGTCCGTGGCGCCAGCGTGCCTAAGCTTTATCAGCATTCCCAGCAGTCCGGCAAGGCGCTGGGAACACACGTCGTCCACTCTACGCACACTTTGCCTCTGACCATGACTAGCCAGCAGGGAGTCAAAGGTAAACTTTTTCTTCTTCATTTCGCATTAGTTTTGCATTGCTGAATCGGTCAAACCCTTACAGAAGTCAGTTATTTACAACTGAGGAGGGCTTCTGTTGGAGCAAGGAGGAGTCAAGATAGTACGGAGAGAATGCGGACCCAGGTATATGGCCAGAGAGACATAGTATCTACGGAATAAGAAAATACACAAAGCTTTCCTTCTGTGGCGTTTTACCACTGACAGACAATAAATAGGACTTCAGTTGGGTCAGACAAATAGAAAAACAACTGAGATGATGTTCTAGCCTTAAAAGTTTTAATGAACAAGGGGATCATATAGTATCTGCAGATGGAAAACAAGCCTATTTTGAAGTAAAGACGTGCTTGATTTTAGTTCTAAACAATACTTAATGTCGCTGGGCTTCAATTAATTCATCTTTGGAGGAAGGTAAACTAGGTCACTTGGAGCTCAGAAATTCTATGACTAATTCATTTTTCTAAGCCTGGCATCGCTTATACGTGCACAATTTTTCAAAACGGTGTCAGAGAAATATTTTTGGCGTGGTTCTTTAAAACCTGAAACTTTGCATCAGAAGGTAAAATTTTGTCTGACAGCTATACAAAGTAAATCTTGTTACAGGTGGAAAGTACCACATTTAAGTATGTTTGTGTATATGTGTCCAAGAGGCACAAAAGTCTATAAATCTATGATGTTTAAGGTAAGAGAATTTTGCCTTGTGAGATCGGTCTTCCTAGGGTTTCTTTGATAAAATGTTTGAGAGATGCACAAGCCAACCCTTGAGATTTAATTTCTATTACATGGTGAGACGTGCTCGCCTGTAAGACTCCCTGGAAAGTGCAAAGAGTTGATGTGCTTGGTTGGTTACAGGAAGGTCAGAATCCAGAGCCTCCCTAGCCATGCCTTAGAAGAAAGGGCTGTTAAACTCTTGAAAAATTAGCCACTGAAAATGCTGTGGAACACAGTTCTACTATGACATACTTGGGGTTTCCATAAGCTAAACTTGACTCAGAGGGAAATCGTTTTGACTGATCAACCTGGAATAGCTAAAGCATCACGTATTTTTAAGTTTATTTGAGCCTTTTTTTTTTTTGGTGAGGGGGAAAGGACGTATTTTTGTCTCCCGAATGTATATTTTCTTTAAACGGTAGTTTTCTTTTAAGATATCTTTCTGTTGATGATCAATACTTATTTTGAGTGTACTCAACCAATTCTCAACAATTTTAATGACGATACAATAAAAAGATATTACCTATGTGTGTATTTCCCACACATGTAAAATGCACCTTTGGGTTTTAAAAATCCCCTTTTTGCTGTTAGTCATTTTCATTTCATTTACTAACACATTTTCTTCCTGCTCTCTTGTAGTAAAATTTCCTCCCAACATCGTCAATATCCATGTGAAGCATCCTCCTGAGGCTTCAGTCCAGATACACCAGGTTTCCAGAATTGACGGCCCTACTGGCCAGAAGGTGAAAGAATCTCAAGCAGGACAATCCCAGGTTTCTTACCAAGGGCTCCCTGTCCAGAAGACCCAGACGGTGCATTCCACATACTCCCACCAGCAGGTCATTCCTCACGTCTATCCTGTGGCTGCTAAGACACAGCTTGGCAGGTGCTTCCAGGAAACCATTGGGTCACAGGTAAGCAGCTTCACCTAGTGCACGTTAATGTGTTCCAGATAACAGTGCCATTTGATAGGAACTCAGACTTGATAAAAATCATACTATCTAGATGAGTTTAGGGTGCCCTAGTGGTGTTTTCCATCCTAAATTGTGCTTCTAACTCAAAGGTCATACCTTTCCTTTTTTTTTTTTTTTTT